GGACGAGGTTCCCGCGCGAGGTCGACAACTCAGAGAGCGGACTCAGAAACAGCTCAAATTGACAAGCATGGCCTTTGCCAGCATGCCCTTAAGTCGGGACAATGATTTGGACGAGTTGTCTCAGGACCACCCTCGCCAACAATCCGACGACGACGATGACTTTCAGATCATCACATCCGATCTCTTGCCAAAGTCCTCCTCGGCCAGGCGCAAGAAGTCACGCCGCCTTAGGGTCAAGGCCAAAACCATCGAGCAACCCAGATCTCGTGGTTCCTCAATTGAGTTTGAGGATCGTCGCCGGTCTGGCAGATCCACGAGGAACAAGGGCAGCATGCTTGATCTTGCATTGATGGATGAGGAATCATTCTACGTTGAAGATACAGCACCCGCCAGCGTTCCCAAGGTCATGAACATCAAGGAAGTCTTCAAGCCAATTGACCATGACGCACCCTTCAATCAATATCACTCCGATATCTGCATCACGTGCAACACTGGTCCTGCCGCCAACAAAGGTCCCCTGATTGGCTGTCAAGGCTGCTCCGTATCTTTTCACAAAAGTTGTATCGGCTACAGATCTGCCAGAGAACATATTGTCACCAAGGTCGGCGTGGACGATTTTGTTCTACAGTGTAAGTTCTGTATTGGCATCTATGCCAAGAAGGACAGGAACAGCCCAAGACATAGCCGGTGTCAAGAATGCAAACGTTCCGGGCGGTCATGTGCGGCGTTTTCGCCCAAGAAAACCCCTAGACAAGAGGAGAAAATTCGTCTTGAGAATGGTGGTGAAGACCCTGTCACGGCAGTGGCTCCATCATTGGTCAACAACGCCGAAAACCTCTTATTCCGCTGTAACATGTGCAAGCGTGGATGGCATTTTGAGCATTTGCCATCGTCACAAACGGATTCAGACGTGTCTGACATTCGCCAGCAGCGACTTGCTGAATACTCTGTCGACTGGAAGTGTGTCGACTGCGGCACGGTATCCGACAAGATACAGACCTTAGTTGCCTGGCGGCCCCTGGGTAAAGCCTCACTCGAAGAGGGGAAGACCTATAGCGATTTGAATGAGGATGAGAAAGAGTATCTCATCAAGTGGCAGGACAAGTCGTACTTCCATTGCAGCTGGATGCCTGGTGCATGGCTCTTTCACATTGCCGCGGGTGTGATGCGCAACTCCTTTGCGAAGAAGGATGCGGATCAGAACTTGGCCCTGAAATTTACCGAAGCCGAGGCAATCCCCCAAGATGCCCTCATGGCCGATGTCATCTTCGAGGCCAAGGTGAAAGGAGAAAAAGCAAGGACGCTGGAAGATGAGATGGAGCGTATTGAGAGCGTCGATAAGATCTTCGTGAAATTCCAAGGTCTTGGCTACGACGAAACGGTATGGGATTCGCCGCCAAAGTCAGATGCCGGCGAGGTTTACACAGCATTCAAAGCCGCATACTACGAATACCTCACTGGCAAGTACTTCACCAGCTCCACGAATGCCAAAATGAAAGAGCGCGTCAACAAGTGGAAGGACAAGGAATTTGTCAAGTTGGCCCAGCAGCCCCCTGGTCTGCGCCGCGGCAAGCTTATGGAATACCAAATTGAGGGCGTCAACTGGATGCTATGGAACTATCACAGCGAAAAGAACGCCATTCTTGCCGATGAGATGGGACTGGGCAAAACGGTACAGGTCGTCGGCTTGATCTCGACCCTGGTCCACGGCGACCCAAAGGTATGTTTGTGCTGCTCATGAGGAGGCTGCTGTATATTGTGCTGACACGGGCGTTCGTAGTGTTGGCCTTTCCTTGTTGTCGTTCCGAACTCAACCTGTCCAAATTGGCGTCGCGAAATCAAACAATGGGCTCCAGACCTCCGAGTAGTCACTTACCATGGTGGCAAGCAAGCGCAAGAGTTGGCGTACAAATACGAGCTCTTTCCGCGCGGCTCCCAAGAGATCAAGGCCCACGTTGTTGTCATGTCATATGACTCTGCGCAAGACGATCGCACGAAACATCTCTTCCGTTCAGTTCAATGGGCTGGCCTGGTAGTTGACGAGGGACAGCGATTAAAGAATGACAAGAGTCTCTTGTACACGGCTCTGCGTTCCATGCGGTTCCCCTTCCGACTCCTTCTCACGGGCACGCCGCTGCAGAATAACAAGCGGGAGCTTTTCAACTTGCTTCAATTCATCGACCCAACCCAGAATGCTGCGAAACTCGACGAAGAATTCCAGGAGCTCAATGCGCAGAACCTCCCTGAACTGCACGGTCGGATCAAACAATACTTTCTGCGGAGGACCAAAGCTCAGGTTCTCAAGTTCTTGCCTCCCATGGCTCAAATCATCGTTCCCGTCTCTATGTCGATCCTACAAGAGAAGCTCTGCAAGTCAATCATCGCCAAGAGTCCCGATCTGATCAAGGCAATCTTCGCAGACGACAAGGTCAACAAGAAAGACCGTGGCAGTCTGAACAATATTCTCATGCAGCTACGGAAATGTCTCTGTCATCCGTTCATGTACAGCGAAGCAGTCGAAGAGCGAACAGTTGACCAAGTCCAGCTACACGAGAATCTAGTGTCGGCGTCAGGGAAGCTGATGCTTCTCAACATCATGTTGCCGAAGCTGAAAGAAAGAGGACACAGGGTTCTCATCTTCAGCCAGTTCTTGAACCAATTGGACATCATTGAAGATTTCCTGAACGGTCTCGGCTTCCAATACCGACGACTTGACGGCAGTCTCAGCAGTCGGGAAAAGCAGAAATATATCGATGACTACAACGAACCTAACTCTCCAGTCTTTGCATTCCTTCTCTCCACAAGAGCTGGAGGCGTGGGTATCAATCTCGCAACTGCTGACACTGTCATCATCTTGGATCCTGATTTCAACCCCCATCAAGACATCCAGGCTATTTCGCGTGCTCATCGCATTGGTCAGAAGCATAAGGTGTTGTGCTTTCAACTCATGACCAAGAATTCAGCAGAGGAAAAGATCATGCAAATTGGCCGCAAGAAGATGGCTCTCGACCATGTTCTGATCGAAGCAATGGACGATGTGGGAGAGTCTGAAGACCTAGAGTCGATCTTGAAATTCGGTGCCTCAGCATTGTTCAGCGATGATCAGAGCGAAAAGGACATCGTCCGGTACGATGATGCTAGCGTTGACAAGCTCCTTGACCGGTCGACTATTGAGCAGACAAAGACTGGCGACGACGATTCCGCTGAGTCGCAATTCTCCTTCGCCCGTGTATGGGCCAATGACAAGGACGGATTCGAAGACCATCTTGCTGAAGAAAACGAGCCCACAGTCAATCCTAACGTATGGGAGGAGATCTTGGCAGAGCGAGAAGCAGAAGCCAAACGCGTGGCCGAGCTAAACAAGGAAGTTCTTGGTCGAGGTGGTCGACGCCGCCAGGTAAACAATCACTGTTCGATTTATCTACTTTTCCCAAGTGTGCTAACAGAGTCATCTTAGGCAATCAGCTACAAGAATAACGGCGGTACCGGCGTGGTCACTGACCTCCCCATCAACAGCGACAGCTCCGATAATGACGGAGATTTTGTCGGTGGAGATGAGGAGGAGGATCCTGATACTGACATGGAAAATAGGGATGACAGTTCCAAAGGTAAAGCCAGACCTTCAGCTTCTCGTTCAACTAAGAAAATTACGCGTGACGTGAAAAGAAAGCAAATTGACACATCCACGCCACAGAAGAAGCGACAGCGCAAGATATCCAAAACCGACATCGTGCAATACAAAAGGTTCAAAACGGTAACTCCACGCAAACCAAGACAGACACCTCAAAAACGAACCCCCAACGCATCGCGACAGGCCAAGGCGCCCTCCACAAGTGGAAAATCAATCCGGACTGGCCTGGATCAGGTCCAAACCCCATCCACGGAGCAATCCAACGAAACGGACGACCCAATCACGTCTACCCCGTCTACCCACCTCCTCAGCCCAACCTTAACCCCATCTATCACCAGCCCGGAGCCGAGCTCTACCCACAACCCCCTCCCGCACCAGGAAGCCGTCCCGGTCGACCGATGAAGCCTGACATGGCCTGGCTTGACCACTTGACAGCAGCCCGAACGGTTACTGGCGGTGAGTTGCCTCCAACTCAGCAGGCTGCTCATGGGTTCTACCAGCAACAACAGTCTGCTCCTGTCATACGTCAAGCAGCGTCTGGCAACCCTATTGTGCCATCTGCGTCAGGCAAGGCACGTAGACCGTCGTTCGGTTTGTCCCAGATGCACCCTAATGCATCTTCTTGTGCGGATTGCGGCTTTCGGCATTATTCGACCAATTGCCCAGCCCCGACTTCAGAAGTCCAATTACGTCTGGCTCTCGATCACTTGAAGCGTTGGCCATCGACTTCCAGGAACCCTGCCGCAGAACGAAAACTAATAGAGAAGCTACACTTGGTAGCTACGACGAATGATCGTCGAAAGGAATGAACCTTCGATATTTGCTTCAGAAAGCTTATAGCATTACGGGTCCTCAGATAAGGTCACTCAAACGAAGACAGAAATACCCTTTTACTGGATTGGGTCGTCAGTATCGACTGACGTATCAACACTTACAATATTTGGCATGGATGGGACTTCAGATAGAAAAGTATACTAATCTGACGTTTCTCCAAGGCTGTGCCTCCGTAACGAACCTCATGGGATTTGCTCTGTTAGACTTGTTCAACCGTAGAAGGCAGCTGTTTGTCACGTGTTGAGGTACAAACCAGGACTGCAGCTAACCGGGCGATTGCAGCGGATCTTATTTCGGTCGAGCAAACGACGATAGCAACGGACATTTCCCGACTTTCTTAGGCTTTTGTTGTGACTCCTAAACCACTCGCGTCCAAGGCATCAGAATCCCATGTCTGAGCCTTTGGCGCCTTGGTCCGCAACTTTTGGCCGTCCTGCAAGCGGTAGACGACATCAAAGTCGTCTTTGATGGAGTTGAACGGAGCATCGCGACGCGTTGGAACTGAGCTTCTCGGTCGACGGCATCATAAGGTAAACAAGGTAGGAAGTGCTGGCCTCCTTCCCCGTTTGCAGGGTGGTCCGAATCCTCCATAATATCTCCCGTGCCCCAGTCTGGCCCGTTTTCGACTTTTTTCAAGCAACTCAACATAGACTCTGCTTCGGCTTCTTCTTCTTATTCTTCTTCTCGTCCCCCATTCTTTCCTTCCTTCTCTACTTCTTTTCGCTCCTGCAGTATGGAATCGAGCCTTGCCTATTCTGCTTCCGAAAAATCATACTCGCCACAGGGCTCCCGAGGCTTTACTCGCAATACGACGCCTGAATCCGAGGCTTCATCGGAACTGAGCGGTATTCCTAACGCGCAAATTAGCGACAGAAAGATGAAAAGCTCCCGAGTCGTCTTCTTCGATTCCCAAAACCAGCCTCAACCGTTTTATCCTCCCGAATACCCTCAGTCTGGGTCTGTGCAGACACCGATGAGACACGGCCTCGCAAACGCTCCCCGCAGTGTCGATGCCCCGAACTGGCGCATGGGTATGGGCATAGGTATGGGAGGCGGTCCAGGCCACAGGCACTACAGCTCGTTCAGCTCGTCGGCCAGCGGCACCGAGTACATGATCATGGGATCACAAGTGCAAGATTGTCAGGCTTCAAGCATGGGAAGAAACACGAACATCGACACTTCGGGCTTCCACGGCTACTGTCTGGATCGTGGAAACGGCAACTATACCAGGTTGATTCCTGCCGACTCGCTTCCACCTTTAATCGGTATACCAGCCGTTCAGAATGGCGCTGAAGGTCTGCTTGTTCTCCCACAGCCTCGAGGCGTGGACCCTCAGAACTTGGCTAGCAGCCCTGTCCAGCCTGTTGCTTTCAGAGTATGTTTGCTTCCTTCTTTTCTTCTCCACCCCTTGTCAGGCACCAAAGTGTTGGCGCTGAACCTTTCAGTCACCTCCGTCTTCACCGGCACCGGTATCTGATGCCCTTCAGGTATGCTCACCTGTTTCTTTGAAGTCATTGTTCTTCATATTATTCTGCATCCATGTTTATGGATTACATCGTTTACTGACACGAATCTGTGAATTTGTAGCGTAGAATCGACCAGATCATTGCCACCTCCCCCAACTCGCCAAAGAAGCCCAAGATCTACTGTGACAAGTGGGTTCACGAGGGCGTCTGCGCATTCACCCAGCAAGGTTGCAAGTACAAGCATGAGATGCCCCTCGATAAGGCGACACAGCACTCACTCGGTCTTTTCCATGGGTTTCCGGCATGGTGGAAGAAGCAGCAGACTGAAATTCGGCAACAGCAGCAGCAGCAGCAGCAGCAGCAGCCTCAGCAGCCTCAGCAGCTTCAGGGCAGCGGAACCGAGGTCTACTTTGACCTTCGTCAGCAATCTCAGAGTGGCTTGAGTTCGCCCATGATTGGTGACAGGGCTCTTGCTAGCTCGACGAGAGCGACGCCGTCGTGGCGGAGAGGCGAGGGTGGCAGGAACCAAGGACAGATGAGCGCAGGATCACTGGCGAGACCCGGTGCAGGACACAGAAACTCGCCTGGTAAGTCTTCCATTGTCATCTCTTCTACGGAGTTGAAGCTCATATCAACAACAGACTCGAGACCTACGTACCAGCAGAATATGGATTCGCCTACCTCATCTTGTGTCTGGGGCCCGATCGGTCCGCCTTCGAAGCAGACGCCCGACCCAAATCCGCATTCCTACCAGAATATGAGTGCCTTCGCCACTTCCAACAACTTCGCTCTGCTGAGCTCTCTTGATACGAACACGGGTGAGATGGACGATGGCCGCAGATATGAGTCCTACTAGAGCTGACAGCTTGGTATCAACTTGTTGGATGGGATATGGCAAGGTTGGAATGATGAGACACGAGGCATGACAGAGTTGTGGGTATTGTCACGTTATCACTTTTATTTTGTTTCCTGGCTTGAAAAAATGTATGTATTATAGAAGACGCTGACCAACAATCGGGGAGTCGCGAGCGAATAACTGATCCGAAAACCGCCTCCTTTTGCGAAGTGTGACCCAAATTCATCATCCACAATGCTTTCATCCGACCATAGCAAACGTTTACAGCCAGGCAAGACTCCAAGTCTCCTTACCAGCGCGGAACGGCACAACCTGGATCCCCTTACCCTCAAACGTCTGCTGAACGACGGCGCCGCCATCGCGGGTGAGGCGGATCCGCTCCTTCCTGGTGTCCTCGGTGCCGTAGAACTTGCGGCCGTAGCCGCTGACGAAGCCCTCGAGGGCCTCCTGGGTGATGTCGGCGTCGGCGAGCTCGCCGCGGGCGACGGCCTCGTCGAGGGCGGCGAGGAGGTACTGGACGGCGTAGGGCTGGGTGAAGACGCCGGCGGCGGCCTTGGAGGGGCCCGTCTTTGCGGTGATGGGGTGCGGGGCGGAGTCGGTGCCGAGGAAGAACTTGCCGTTGCTGTTGACTACGGCGTTGAGGAGGGCTTTGCGGTCGGCGGGGAGCTGGTGGGCGTTTGTTAGCTTTTGCTTCTGTTCTTTGGAAGAAAGATGATGAGTGTTTTTGCTGGAAAACTTGCCTTGGCAACGGGCTTGCAGAAGTTGAGCTACAATCACAGATGTCAGTCTTTGGAAGGCCAGGGGTTGAGAGATTTCTCATCTCGTACCGCATCACCGACGACGTCGTCGATGGTAATGAAAAGGTGGTGGCTATTGACTTGGTCAGGACTGTGTTCTTCTTGAGGTAGGTTTGGGGTACATACCAAGTGATGGTGCCGGCGACGTTGGGGCCACTTGTAACTAGTCAACCAAAAAAGAATTGCGACTGTTTGACGGCATCGTCACTTACCATGACTTGACGGCTGCAACAGCCTCAGCGGTTGTGCAGTGCTCGAGGACTGTAAAGTCAGTTGGCCAAGTTCTGCTTCGTTGGACAGAGATAGTTGTACTTACTGATTCTGAGCTTGGGGTACTTGGCGTGAAGCGCCTTCAGCGTGGGGAGGAACTGGGACATGAATGTCAGCAGATGGATGCGCATCTTGGCCATTATCTGTGGGGTTATTTACCTTAGACTCGGCGTTGAGCGTAGTGATGTCGCTCCCAGCGTGGGAAGGGCACTCTCCGTGGAGGCAGAGAAGCAGGTCAACCTCCTCCATGGCCTTGAAGACCTCGTGGAAGGCATCGTAGTCGACGACGCCATCGGCGCTGTTCGTGGTGACGCCGGCAGGGTAACTGGCAGCAGCACCTCGAGTCAATCACCAAGCACGTAGCTAATTTACTTTTCAGGGCGCCTCAAAACACACCTCTTGACTGCGGCGACACCGGCCTTCTTGGCCTCTCTGATGGTATCGGGCGTGACGTCCTGGTGAAGGTAGAGAGTCATGAGCAGGTCGACCTCGTCCTTGCCCAGGGCCGCCTTGATACGCGATGAGTAGTCCAGAGCCCGCTTGACGCTCGTCACCAGGTTGTTTTGCAGGTTAGGCATGATCAGTGCCTTTGCAACTATGTTAGTAGATGGTTCCAGCTGACGACGGGAACTTACGGAGGGCGTACCTGGTTGACACCTCCGGGGCGAACAGTCGGAGCGACGATCTGAAATCGTTTTAGCATTCATAATATACCCTTCAGTGGTGGCGTGAGTTCCATGACCGCTGACCGCGTACCTGGAGCATGTCATCGTCACGCAAGTGGACATGGGCGTCAAAGGCCGCGGGCAACTCGACGGTATCAGGGAGAGGCATCTTGAATGGTGAGTGGACTGATGTATTGGGTGTCACGGCTTCTATAAACTATCAGACAGAGTCACTCGATAATTTAAGGACTTTGATTCATACCTGATGATCTCTGTTCGCAGAAATGGTCCAAGATTGGTTTTCCGCCGATGTCGCTGAGTAGTTGATTTCGGTCCTCAATCTCGTCTCGAAATGTTTTTTTTTTCGTTGGAGTTCATGGTGGGGGCGGGGTAAATGACTAGGTTCCCCAAAGGCTCGAAACCATCTATTAATTGACCTCCTCATTTACCTTTACCTACCTTACTTACCTTGAATGAAACGCATATCACCGGGCGCTGATTGCCAATGACACTCAGCCTGAGACGTTGGAACCCTTGAAGAGACTTCACGATAATATTCAATCCTACCATCTTACTGCCATTTGCTCCAACGCAACGCAACCATGAGAATAAAGCACGGCCTCGGAACCGTTGAGTTCAATTTAACCATTTGAAAGGAGTATTTCCATCTAATGTTGAGGCTACATAGGATCATCTGCCTGATCTCTCTCTAATTTGTATCCTTACCCTTACTTCTTGCTGTCTCTATACCCTATGTTATCTTTTTTGTCGCCCTTGTTGCATTTGGCTGTATGCCATCTCTACGAGGAGGTAATTTGATCCTGTCGCTTCGGCCCTACTCGAGTCTCAGTCGTTTTACTTTCACCAGGCTTGAGTGACCTCCCTGTATGATGATGAATTTTAGTAAAGGGAAGAGTGGTAAGATCCAGAGTTGTATGAAGTCAGGTCATTTGAGGTCTCTTTCATTCTACGGTGATCTACTACCCAGGACCTTGTCGGTATGGAGGGGTATTCCTGCCCCACTAGCCAGCCAACCCAAGGTACGAGGTACCTTACGGAGTGCATTGCTACAGGCATGATTGGGACTTCACCTTGATTCACCGATGACCAGGCAGGCGCGAGATGTAATCGGTATCAAATCAGCCGAAGATTAAGCGAGGTGCACTTGCCTTGTGGTGCCGTGCACGGACCAGTATCCCCCACAATGGATCAATGGTATCCGTACAGCCTATGCTGGTACCTACTAGGTAGTCTTGAGCTTCATCATCACCAAGAAGCTTCTCAGGATCACGCTGGGTTGCGACTTGGCTTTGTGAACCTCTAACGACCTCTCCATACAAACCACCGTTTCCCATAATAACCCCTCGTCCGACTTGAGAAACTTCATTCCAACACAAGCTTCGCACCCGGGTTTCTGCAACTGTCGCCGCTGCTGTCACAACCAGTTGTTGGAGCTCCAGCTTTCTAGTTTGGCAAGGTGCCCGAATCGTCGGCAAGATGGAAGACACGCTTTTCTACTTCGAGCGCGAGAAGTACAAGACCGACGAAGTCTATGACAAGACCATTAGAAATCACATTTTGAAGATCACTCGTCTATTCAAGGACGATGCGCCGGCCATCATAGCCAAAGCGCCGCAATTGCTCGAGGTCTCTTGGTCCCCCCACCTTTGGCTGTATGTTGCTGCTAACCACCATGCCACAGATCGTCCACCCCACCGACCACTCTATTTCCCACCTCGCGATCCTGAACACTCTGAAGCATCTGGATGAAAGCTCTCTGCCCCTTCCGATCGATACCTTCCGAGAACACATCGCCCGGTTCCTGTTGTCGTTCGACGCCCGGCAGATGCGCTATGTTGGTGATGTCTTCTACGACCTGTTGAAGGATGTCGTGGAATGCAAGTTCTTTCAGGTAAGAAACATTCCAAGTTTGGTTCACTATCCTGACTAATCGCATGTTCTCTTGGCAGGCGCGTCAATCTGTAGAGATCGTTGTTGCCGCATTGAGGCTACTCGATCCCGAATCAGCCGTACTCACGAGCCTCCACCTCGCTGTGGTGAGGCTAGCTTACGAGACGACGAACTACGACGAAGTGCTGCCGATACTCGAGAAACCATGGGTGTTCCTTCCTGGAATGAAGGACCAGCCTCGTCCAACATACCCTTGCGATTTGACAGCTTCACCTTCCGCCTATATCAGCCCCGCCACACAACTTACCGAATACTTGACTCGCGAGGGTGTCATGGAGCACGAGTACCTCAGTGCCCAAATCTTCACGAAGGAGCTCAAATGGGCGCAGGCTCACAAAGCCTACCAACGAATCATCACTTGGCCGTCAAGGGAAACCTCTGTGAGCAAGTTGATGACTGACTCCCACAAGCGGTGGCTTCTCACAGGTCTCTTGGCTCTCGGCCACGCGCCGGTTTTACCCGGACAAATCAGCTCAAGCGCTCAGAAGGCGTTTGCATCTCTGTCAAAACAATATGCAGATCTCGCGAGCCTATTTTCCACCACCAATGTTGAACAGTTCAAGGGCGCAGCCGAGAAAGGCATTGATACGTGGGCAGCTGATGGAACCACCGAGCTGATCAAGGCGGTTGTGACGGCGTACCAGAAATGGCAGATTCTTGGTCTCGCCGACGTGTATCACAAGATCAGCGTATCGGAGATCCGCCAACAGACACTCAGTGCCGAGACAGCTCGAAACATCGAGACTGACGAGGAGGTGGAGCAACTCCTGCAGGATATGGTCACCATCGGAATGCTTCAGGGCTCATTGGAGGTCAGCCCTGATGGCGTCAAGTGCCTCATCTTCCTCCCGCGTGACACGGAAATCGAATACAGCGAGTACCAGAAGAAGATCACAGACGACGCGCGCATCAAGGCGTTGAACAAGTTTGCCGAGGTTAGCGATGTTCGTCTTGCCGCGTCAAAGGACTACGCCAAGCACATCATTCGTGAGCAGAAGCGCCAAGACAAGGACAGCTCTCAGTCGCACAACACCGAGTTCGGCTTCGACGCATCCATCGAGGACGAAGATCTCATGACGGGTATTCAACATCCTTAGTACCTTTACCGGGTGGGCCATCCTTCGAAGATGATCTTTCGATGTCACTGCAGTTCGCGCCTTTTTTGACGAAGTAACGAAGGCACGAAGTGAGGGAAGGAGGGTAGTGAGATGATTTCTTGCATGAGAAGAAGAGCGAAACGTAGTGCTGCATGAGATTTGACCTCGGCATACTGGGGGCATCAGGCTGGCGTTACGAGATCAGGTTCACAAGGGATATTGCTTTGATTGCCAAAAGAGGCATTTGCGACACCATCAGCAGAAATGCAAGAGCCCGAGTTCTTGGGACTGACTGTGGTAGATTAGGTAGAGAAAGAAGAAACCGCAAAATAGTATTCTCTTCCGGCATTAGCACGTTTGCCCGAGCATATTGTTCCGTTGACTCTCATGTTTTCGCGGTCCTTTGCCTCATAGCTCATCAAATTTTTGATCGCCCCTTCTAACTACCTTAGGGTTCTTCACGCAGATGCGTGAGCTACCTTTCCATCATTAAAGTACACATACAACGGTCTCCCTTCCAAGCATTTTTACGAGCTGATACCAAATTGCTTTATGAGATCCGCAAGCTTAGCTCCCTCGGCCTTGTAGTCGATCTGCCCTGCGCTCAAGACCTGGTAGCGTACCCTGAAAAAGGTTAGTGTTTGAAAAATCAGCTGCGGTCAAGGAATCATCATACCTCTGAGCTTCGCCGAAGGTGTCCATCTTCGCACGACATCGGAAGTTTAACTTGGTGCAATTCGCTTGCTCGAATGCCTGTGCCATCTTCGTTTCATCCTCCTCGCGTAAAGCCATAAGATCGTCTGCCGACATGCCCATGATGACACGACCGACATCATCGAAGCAGCTGAGCCACAGCTGGTTGGTGTGGTCGCACACGTTGATAGACATGATGTACCGATATTCGGGCTTCGGGTGGGCAACATCGCACTTTTCGCAACGCCAGGTACCATCTCCCATGTCAGTCACCTTCTTGTTGCAGCCCTCGTTGCTACATGCGGGATAAGCAAAGTTCTCCTGCTTGATGTAGACAATGGTAGCCTTGAGGTTGAAGTAGTCTTGGTTCTCCATGCCCAAGTTCTCCTCCTTCACCTGGAGAATGGACTTGTCCTGGTCCTTGCGACCAGTGGCATTGCCCATGCTGGCCATGTTGTTGTGGCTGCTGAAGGTATCATTGCGACCAGATGAGTCATACCAGCCCTTCAGACGGTGAGCATCAGGAATATCCGGGTCAATGGACATCGTTCCAGAAGAAAGCAGGCTGAGACTGCGACCACCAAAGTCAGACACCTTAGTACCCTTGAAAGCCACGACAGACTCAGGCTTGGCGTCAAAGTTAGTAGCGCTCTTGCCCCAGATGGTGACGCGAACTGAGTAATTCGTGTCGTCGACCAACGTGAGCTCACGCTTCTCGTAAGGCTTGCCAGTCGACTTGGAGACGATTTGGGACACCTCAGCGACCTCCTTCAAAACGCCAATAACGTCAACGGTCGCATCCTTCTCGACTTCCTGAAGCTCTTGAATGTTGCAGAAGTTGAACCGCACCTGCGGCACACTACTCTGATCCTCTGCCTTCTCGATCTGGGTATCGCGCTCGAAAGTGAGCTCGTAGTCGTTCGGCAGGTTTGTGAATTGCTTCTTGGCAAGTTGGACTTTGCAAGGGTTGGAGATGTAGTAGACACCTCCCTCCTGAAGCAGATCGTAGTACTGGTCACATTGGTCGTTGAAGCCGGTTGCCTTGATCTCGCCACTCTCGTCAAGCAAGTTGACACTGAACAGCTTGCCCTCGCCACTAGGCTTGTGCCATGTCCGGATGTCTGACTTTTGCGTGACGCGAGCCTTGATGGTCCACTTGTGAGCGTAGGGAGAGAGGGCTTCGATAGGGTAGATGTTATTGCTTCCATGCTGGCCGGTGGCACCTCCAGCAGAGCGCGTGGGTATCGATTGAGGCTTTGGTGTGGGCTTGGTCTCCTCTTGCTTGACACCGTAGAAGTTCTGTCCGCCGATGGTTGTGTTTGCTGCTGCAGGAGGCTTCGCTTCAAAGGCTTGAGGCTCGCCGAGCTTGTCTGGTGTGCCGAACTGCTCGACAACCTCGAGGCCGAGGATAATCAGAATGCTTTCAGAGGTTAGGTCACTTTTCTCGAGAAATTTCATAAAGAGAGGCAAAGAAACACGTACTTCTTCCCCTTCACGGAGTTCGCTTGGTACTGAGTAATCCGCACGATGCAGTTTCTGACCAGCTTGTTGTCGTGGACAACATGGTTGACCTGCGTAGCCAACATGCACTGAACATAGTTGCTCACATCGCTGAGAACAATCCGGTATCTCTCCGCGTTGCCTCCTGCTTGTGCGGCCAAAGGCTTGATTTGCAGGCACTGAAGAACCGGGACTGGGAATTTCGTGTTGGCACCTTCGGGGTCGTTGAAGATGGCGCTGCACCCGCTCAGTCAGTACGGAAAGGGTGAGAAGGGCAGTAAATCATAGAATCACTCACTCCAAGGCTCCCTTCGTGATCTTCGATTCGACATCCATCTTGAGGGTTGGCGAAGATGAAGTATCGTGTGCAAGTTTGTTGGTTGAGAATGGTGAGGATTTGGAGGTTGAGGCAAGTTCTTCGCGAAATGGAGGAGGAAAGCGCGTCGACGCGTTTAATGGCTTTTGGCGGGGTTCTTGCCTTCCGTTAGGTAAGCTGGTAATTAACGAGTCCTGCTATTTCTCACATGCCCCGTGGTGGCCAGTTGCCTGTCATGCCTGCCCGTGTCGTCTGGATTCAGCGTGGGGAAAGATGGTAGCCCGGTACGTACCTAACTTTAGGTGGCAGCGACTTCACGCGGGGCAGCTACAAGCATCAAGCTGAGACGTCATCCCTGGTGGTGTTACGAGCTATGTACACGTACCTCTCAGTCCAGACTTGATCCAAACGTTGCGCCAAGGGATACAGACTTCTACTTTGACAGTGCATCCTGCATTTCTGTGAGCCTACACTAACATATCGCAACATCTTGTACTACTTTCGACCTCAGAGCCGTTTGCCTCGTACTGCAGTGCTCCGCACCGATACTCATAACCCCGCTCAACAAGATGACCCAGATCGAGCCTGATATTGCGACGAAAGCTCCCGAGAGCGACGCCGCTGAGACTATCACTGTCACCGAGCCCGTCACCGAAAGCACCTCTGCTGCCGACACTCCGGCTCAATCCACCAGCCCTACGACGACTACAGGAGGCGCTGGAGAGCACAGCGAACACTGCGTGTCCGACAGACCAACTCGTGAGCTCCCTCGCTGAGCCTCTGCTGTCATTTGCGCAAGACTGACTCGAAACAGCGTCCGGCCAATCCTCGACGGGAGAGATAATCAAGATCAACGGTGTCGAAGTGAGTAGATTACCTGTCATACAACTACGGGCACATCGTGACCACGGCCAACGACTAACCCATGCAAGGTCTACATCTCGAAACCCGCCGACTACCCTCATGCGCCAGCCAGGCTTCTCCTCCTCCTGACGGGAGGCACGGGTCTTAAGTCCACAAATAACCAGCTTCAAGCCGATAAGTTTGCCAGTGAGGGCTACGTAGTGGTCATGCCCGATCTCTTCAACGGTGATGCGGCGCCCAATTCGTCGACCATCGACAGCAGCGAGGACACCGGATCGTTCCTGGACACTTTCAAGATGAAGATCGTCGAGACGGCCAAGAGTTTTCAAATTGACATGTGGCTGGCGCGACACACAGAGGAGAAGGTTCTGCCGATTCTCTACAAGGTCATTGAAGGCTCGAAGGAGAAGTTCGCCGATGCGGTGAAGAACGGCGACGGCATCTACGCTGTCGGCTACTGCATTGGAGGACGCTATATCCTTCACTTGGGCTCAGACAAGAAGGTCGCGACAGGAGGTCAAGGACTTGCCGATGCCGAGGCCGGCGAAGTGAAGACTGGTCCATTCATCAAGGTCGGCGCGATAGCACACGGTGCTTCTGTCACCCCTGATGACTTCACGGGCGTCAAAGTCCCCATATCTCTCGTCTGCGTTGAGAATGATCCTCTGTTCCCTGAGGAGGTCAGAACACATGGCGAGGACGTCATGTCAAAGGCAAACCTCGAACACGAAGTTCAGGTGTACCCCGGCGTGCCACATGGTAAGGCCCAAAAGTCTGCCCTTACCTAATAAGGCGTTAATCGAATGCTAACCTTCACGACTAGGTTTCGCTGTTGTTGGCGAATATCAGGACGCAGCTATCAAAGATGCTCAGACTACCGCTTACGACCAAATGCTGAAGTGGATCAAGGAACATTGAGAATAGGGAAAACGGTCCTCGTATGCTTTTTATGGCCTTTGCTTCTGTTATGGTCGCTCATCTCGCGGCTTTTGATGATATCAGTGCTTTATAGGAACTTTTCTACGGCCCAAGGGGATATTATTATATCAATGCTACAAGTTCCCCGACAAATTCCTCTCCAGGTGCCAATGACTTTACATCAAGTCTTTTCTTGCTGTCTCCGCATCGCTTGTAAAACTCGAATTCCTCCTCCCGGAATTGATCGCAGTGGTAGAACTGTAACTGCACTTATCTGTTGGCGCTGATTTGGCGCCCGAAGAGTTCACTGCCACCCGCATCTCGAGCGAATGGTCTTGGAAGACTCGCTGCGACCCCGAATTCGTTCCATGCGTCCTGTTCGTAAGATTCGCCGATGCATCCTTGATTTGCCGGCCAGTCTCACGCACAATCTGTCTTGCATTGGGCATGCAGGCAACCACTACGCCAGTGCAGATCTCAATGGCAGACCAGATCGTGGTCCCACGCGCATCAGCTGTCGCATTTGCGGATGTCGCGAATGAAATCAGGCTGCGAAGGCGGACAACACTAACTACCGTGAGGCTGATTTCTGGTCAGCGTCTTCAAGCTCAGTGACTGAAGAAATCCGGGAGCCCACTCACAAGATACCAACACTGAACATGGCAATGATTCCGAGCTTCTTCTTCATCTTGAGGTTCAACTTATAGAGCTGTGTCAACGGCAGAATAAGCATCCAGACATCGAGCGCGATGTTCATGCCGCCATGTGACAAGCCCATTTTGTTGAGGTCGAGGATGACTCCACGGGGTTCCTTGTCACGCCAGCCCTCCCAGATGAGCCATGTAGGCTGTCTCTGGACGAAGCTGAATACGATGAATATGAATCCGACGAAGAGGTCGTAGGCTAGCGTCCACCAGACTGCGATCCTGAATTTCTTGTCCGGAAAGATGCGGAGGAAGAACAGGAGAATAGATGCCTTTACGATGGAGAGGATGAAGACGTAGAGTGTTTGGACCATTAAGAGGTACTGCAAATGGTTAGCTCATGTTTGAAGAAACCCTCTGTAGTGGACTCGGTCGATCTCGATAGTGCTCACCCTGAGAAAGGTAGTAATCTGATAGTCGTGGAGAACCCAAATATCAAGCCCTAGACCTTGTGGTATCACTGCAGAGCTGTATTAGCCATATTTGTCTCAGTGGCTTCTTTGGAGAGTTGACTTACTGTACTGAATCAAAACTATGAACGGGATCAAGGCGGCCTACCCCGACGCATTAGCCAACGTCAAAAGGAAGCTGTAGACTATTCGTGAAAAGGGTACACTCACAAATGCAACTACCATCAAAGTATCGTCAGCTCCCCAAGGAGAGTACCTCATGACTTTTACTGTAATTCGGCATGCGAAGAAGGCGGACGCAAGTATGAACATGCCAAGACTGGTCGCTCTCGACTCGTTGCGATAGTCTGACAGAGGGAATCCACATGCAGTTCTTGTGATATTGACAAAGGCTGTGAGTGCAAGGCTCCGTTAAAAAAATTCGGTGTTCTTGTAGTGAGGTGAGTAGAGAATAGCAATGCACTCACTCAGGGACTCGACCACGCTACATCCTTGTTGCACGCAACCCCCGACAAAGTTGTTGAAGCCTTGGTCGACACATAATTCCGCCTGCGACTGGTTCGCAAATGCAGGCTGGCTCATTGCCTGAAAAAGACACTTCGTCTAAACTCGGTCGTTAGCTTCCTCGACAATCGGACATTGTAAACCTTAATCCTCGACTAAGAAGACTGGGACGATGTGACCACTTACAGAACACTGTGGAGCATCAGCCAACGACTGCGCGCCAGCGAGCCTCAAGAGGCACGACGCTCCAACGGCGACGATGAATCGCAGAGTCAACATTGCGGGACTCGTCTGACAGCGAACATACACACACAAACACGAAAGCCGCAAAGAATGACCGAAAGGAGAGGGAGAAGCCGGTGGGAGGGGACGTAAGAAAGGGAGGGCCTCTAAGTCAAGTTATTACCTACCCTTTCTTGTTGTGCTCGATGACGGAATCGGTACCCAGGGGGCCTAGCCCAGCGCCCATCTCCAAGTTACGATTTGCGAGGCGACTTCAGAGGCTCAGAGACGAGTACGCCAAAAACGGCGTTGGTATGGCTTTCCCCCTCTCCTTTGAACTATTGATCCTGTCTGATGTCCCCCCCTGCCTTGGGCGTACGTTAGCGGCACAGAGCTTATCGCCATCGTCTGCCCCTAATCGTTTCACAGTTTCAGCCTGGGAAGAGAAAGGCGATACTGTAGGAATTCCAGAGCTTCTGACGAAGGGTACCAAACTCGTGAAAACCAGTCCCTGCCAGCTTGATGAGGCTGTACTTCAAAGGAAGAGAGCAGCCTGCTCTTGCCACGTCTTGGAATGTCTTAGGAAATTGCGTTGCGCCCGCAACCAGCTAGGATCCCGCTAAAGATTGAGGGAAAAGAAACCATCGAACCAGGAAGCGTGAGAGCGTGACGGAGTACACTCCAGCCCGCCCGCGGATCCTCTTCCGGACTGCTGGTCAAAAGCCAAGTTCGCCGCGAGCAGTCAGCCTCCTTTGAACTCTAATCACCCCGTTCCCACCCCAGATCGCTCTCGCCCTATGCCAAGCTCTCCCAACTTTCCCCAAGAGCCCACAAGTGAGAACGGCTGGGTTCGGAGGCTTGCAATAGCCGGTAGAAGATGAGCAGGAAAAAAGAGGACATTCCTCCAATGAGCGGGGGATGCTCGTCACTGCCCATGGACGGGCACTTATCCGCGCCATGGTCAACTGGAATGCGATAAACCCAGTCAGCCACGGGTGGCGGAATCGGGTGAGGTCTTCTTTGTTCTGAAGTTACCCGAGATGACCGATATACAGGGCGTTTCGGGGCTTTGAGAGCCCCCGGTTCGCCGTGGCCTTCTCGGTCCGTAGACAATGGTCCAGGAGGCTCCCGAAGAATAGAGATGGGCGAGGATATTCTGCCAGCAGCTCCCGCTATTCTGCCACTAAGTGTAGCTACGGCCGCCACACGACCGCCAGTCTCGGGTATATATATAAGCTAGGCTCTACGTAGTTAGTATTTAAATAGATTAGACTAATTAAAGGCCGTTAATTAACTTATAATTAATTAAATTATTTTAGTAAAAAGTATAGTAATTAACGAATTAGCCTAATTTAACGTAATTAATAAAATAGTTTAATTAATTACTTAATTAACTAC